CAACTGTGACCAGATGCTATTTCCAGCAGCAATAGACTGCTGGATCTGTAGACTGGAATAGAAACTGAGTTATGAAGTGGAATACAGGCATAGTAATACGTATTTTTAGATCGACCTCTGCTAAAAGTTAACGGGGGATTATTGTTTCTTCTTTCCTTATGCTCAACTTGGCAGAAGACCTTGGCTCTGAAAACACAGATTCCATCTATAGCACAACTCCGGAGGTTAAAGCTTGAGCGTCACAGCCGTTAAGGACAACACACGAACACGTCAATCTCAAAAAGAAAAAAAATGGAAAAAAAAACAGTCATATGCAGCAGCCTCCCAGGGTGCAACGTGAACCGAAGGTCAATAGGGGGCAGTAATTGATGAGAATGGGTAGGAACAGGTTGTCAGGAAAGATGGAATAGAGACAAAAAGTAACGGTTTGGCTGTCTTTTAGCGTCATTGCCTTTTGTAAGTCTGAACATAACCAGGCGCCAAGATCCTGTTTCTCCAATGTTGATTAAGTCATTGTAGTGTTTTATTATTGAAGAGAAATGTAACGGTATCTTGGTTAGAGTATGTTCTCTGAAAGTGGGAAGGGTGACAAAAGGCGGGGGTCATTTGGTTAAATAAAATACTTGTGGTCTAGGGGTTTTTGCCCCCCCCCCACTTTTATTGTACACTGCTTCTGTTTCCAATCTGTTTCCAAAATAAAATGCTCCCACGATAGCACTCCTAGAAAAGTGTACCAGGTTAATTCATCTGTTTCCGAACAGTACTGAATAGTCTGGGACTTTGAAAAAAAAAGGGGGGGGGCTAAGGTTTGGGGTGGTTTTTGCACGATAGGTGGTTGAATGCCCTACTGCTTGAAGCTTGTTGTTCTCCTCCAATAAAACTTTATATTCAAAAGTCTCTAAAGGATAACACGTGGAGCATCCCTGTATTGATTGCCTCTGGTCAAAATTGCTCACATACTATCGGAATTGACGCTCTGTAAAAATGTACCTACTTAGCCATTGTATTTCTTCTGGACTTCTTTTAAATGGAAGCAGCAAAGTATTTCTATATAATTTTTAATGTGTTTTTTTTCAAAACCGAACTGTATGTATACATCAAATAATTCATATGCTGCATAAGAATAAAATGGTGGTTTAAAGAATCATCTGTATTAACTGAAGAATAAATATAAGGTTAGCCATTGACGTTTATAAATGGTAGCACGTGTTCAGAGTACACTGTATCCAGCATAAAAGGAAAATAAGCCCATTACTGTAGAACAGCTTTGCCCATCCTTTCTCTTTAGGTATCTTTTGAGTTGCAGTAAATTGTCTTACACCCATATCCATCAGCCATTTTGACTGGCAATCTGAAAAGATGCAGTTCACCTGATACAATGTTGAGGAAGCAACTCAGCTCTGTGACACACTGATTCTTTGGAGGTAGTAAAATGCTTGAAATATTAATGCAGTTATGATAAATTTGTTAAAAAAAATACATCTCCCTCTTTAGTAGAAAAGGATGTGGAGAAGATGAAAGTGTGCCCCTTGAATCTACAGTTATAATAGGAGCATGCATTTAGCAATATGTAGAAGTAGTGACATTATTACCGCATTTTGACAACGGCTAACAAGATCAAAAGCAAATAAGACGGGAAGAATAACTGCAGCCTAGCCTTCTATACTGGTTTTTTTTTTTTGTAGATGGTCTTCCAGTGGGAAGGTTTGAGAGTGTTAACTTTCCCTGCACACAAAACAAGATTGGAACGGTATTTTATAAATCAGCTGATTTTAGAGTTCCGGTTCTCTTGGTTGCTTATAAATGCCGTAATTTTTTTCCCCTGTGTCTTTGTGCCCCATCTTTTTTGCATTTGTTTCTGGCAGTCGTTTTTGCTTGAACCCTCCATCTATCCGCCAGTACTTGTATATGGTTGTAAATTAGCTGAATCGTAGAAAAAACATAGAACGTTCATTTTCCTATAAGAAAAGGACTTTCCATTCTCCCTACTGAAATGTTCAAGGATAACTCTTATTAACGGGTGGTCCTCGACTTAACGACCACTCATTTAGCAACCATTCAAAATTACAACGGCACTGAAAAAAGTGACCTCTAACCCTGGCCCTTACTCTTCATGCAGCATCCCCATTGTCTTGCGATCAGAATTTGAATGCTTGGCAAACGGCATGCATTTACTACAGTTGCAGTGTCCCAGGGTCACTTGTGACCTTCCCAGCTGGCTTCCAAGAAGCAATGGGGGAAGCCCGATTTGCATAACAATCACGATTCATTTAACACGGGTCCTCAACCTAGGCAACTTTAAGACTTGTGGACTTCAACTCCCAGAATTCCTCAGCCAGCAAAGCTGGCTGAGGAATTCTGGGAGTTGAAGTCCACAAGTCTTAAAGTTGCCAAGGTTGAGGACCCCTGAACAGCTACGGTGATGACAATCATGGCAAGAAAAGTAAAACTGGGCATGACTCAATAACAGTCTTGGTTAGCAACAGAAATTCTGGTCCCAGTTGTGTGGCTATGAGTTGAGGACTCTGTGCTTTTCTAAACCCACACATACCCTTCAATTTTATCACATTCTGAAATATCTTGCATTTATATTGTGACAAGTGTTGGTAAAGGATCACTGCAGCACGATTAATGTTCTGGTGCTTCATCTTGGGAGTAATAAAAGAAACTGCAGGTTTGTTGGCACCCTTTGTTTCTGTACATAACGGCTGCAGAGTCACTAACCTACTCCATTCCCCGATGGCTGGCCTTTTGCTCTCAGCTGATAGAGCAGTGGTTCTCAACCTTTTTAATGTCGCGACCCCCAACCAGTTGTAAGTCGAGGACTACTCAACCGGTGCAGCACCGTTTGCAGAATGGGACTTTTGGCGGGCTCAGCAGGGCAGAGACAGCCTGGACAATTCCTATTGGCTTTTGAAAGCCAATAGAATTAGACTCTATTCAAGAGAGTCTATTCTGTTGGCTTTCAAAAGCCAACAGAATAAAAGGGAGTAGCACGGCTAAGGAAAAGGGGGGGGGGGAAATGGCGGACTGCGTTGTTTGGCGACCCCCATGAAATGGTCGTTCAACCCCAAATGGGGTCCCGACCCACAGGTTGAGAACCACTGTGATAGAGGATTATGGAGTGTTAGTAACCTTTGCTTGCAATTCAAACTCTTTTGCCAAGACAAGGGGTGATGCCGTAAACTTCAGACATCCTAATAATCAGTTTTGCCTTTCAAAATTGGCAATTCCCCTTGTTACTTTCTTCACACGTTCACCTTCACCACATTTAAGACAAGAAAGTATTTGAAAAAATGTAGGTGGATCCCAAGAAGTTAACATTCGTCATCGGGTGGAACTCAATGACATCTCTAGTGAAAGTCAGGACTTTTTATTATGACTTTCAAAGGAAGGACGGCTTCCCAAAGCAATTCTATTGACTATGAGAAGAAAACCTTTGACCTCAAGAACAGCGGGCAGATGCTATTATTGACACAACTTTAAAAACAACTGAAAATCCACATTTCTTGACACTTCCGCAGGGAGAAAATGACAGGGCTCTGAGCCCTGCCTAAAAGTTTTGTACACCAGAGGTTGCTTTGTCAAAAACCCAATAAATTCTGAATGGCTCTGTAGCTTCCTTGCCAGATTCCAAATGCGACATTCATTTCCTACCTTTTCTCTGAGAAGGCAACATGATGGACTCTTCCCCCTATCAGTGGTGCAATATGTTGACCTTATTGGTTGGGGGAGGGGGGGAGAGAGGCCTTTAGCCCTTAAACTCCATGATCAACAAGGGGCGCATTTAGACCTGTGATAATTGTACCCTGAGAGGCTGTTTTTAACACTGTCCAGTCTGCAACGTTGATTTAGCTGGATGATATAACTGTAAATCATTAATGAAGAGTCTCCTGGTCGTAAAATCAAGAGAGGCTCAATCACTACAGTACTAATAGGGGCCATTGCAATTTATGAACCAAAAAGCAGCGGTGAGCGCATCAATCATTTTATCTTTGCTGTCCCAACAAATGCGAATACAAGTTTATATGAATAAGAGTTCATATTAAGCATACCATGGACAGGGCCATGCATGCATTTACTACTATTACTACTACTACTACTATTACTACTACTACTACTAATAATGATAAATATGCATCAATATGATAAATCTTCAGAGTCAGTTAAACCTACAATACAATGGAAACTAATTGAATAAAAGAATAAGTACAATTGGTAAGAGTCAGGAAAAGATAACATAAAGGAAGTAAGATAAACATATAGGCAAAAATAGCTGGGTCTGAGAAAGGAAGAAGAGAAGCCATAAAAAATATATATAGCTGTCAAAGGAAATGGCTAGTCAGGAAAGACAGGTTGAATTGGAGAATAGGAAACTAAGCTGAATAAGATAAGAGGAAAGGCACACTGAATTGAAAAGCAGGAAAAGAACTTATTGTTTAAAATGGGGACATAAATATTTACAGAGTTTCAAACAACCATTTAAATGTCTAATTTTTCTTATTATTACTGTATATGTGAATATGATTTAATATGTTATCAGGAAATGTGTATAAGCGGACGGAAAGAGTGTAACCTCATAGTACCTCAGCCAATGGGGAAAGAGAGGGATGTAACGGCCGGTGAGAGGAATGAATAAAAGAAGGAAATATTTTAGGTTAAAACTTTGGAGAGAACCAAGCTTTGATAGCTTCTCTCCCGGCTCATTGCAATAAACGAAACAAAAGGCCTTCACTGTGTCTTGGCTGGTTATTGGTCAGGCGAGCTTGCTTCTGGTCACGAAGGAAAGTAGCCAGGAGCACATAACAACAACAACAACAACAACAATAATAATAATACCAAGCCCTTTGGCTCTCTTTTTCTTTGCTCACTACCGGGCGCGGGGATCCGCTTTGCCTTTACAGTCTGCAGAATCGCAGGCCCGCTTTTTGTTTGCCGTTTGCAAGCGATCGCCCAAAAGTGATGCGAATCCGATCCGCGTTTCTCTGCCCCGGGGGCCCTCCTGGAGGGGAGACGGCAGGAGGAGGAGGAAAACGGGGGGAGGGAAGAAGGGAAAGGGCGTAACCAGGAAGCGCCGAAAGCGCCTTGCCCTGGAAGAGCATCGACTTTCGCTTCTCCGCCGATCATGGCTGCTAGCAACCCGGGCACCGAGCTAGGTAAGCCGGGCCGGCAGCGGCGGATTTCGTGCAAGCTAAGGGCGCGTCTGAACAAATGGTGGTGGACGGAGCAGGCGGGGGTGGGCTGGGAAAAAAGAAGGGGTGCTTTGAACTTGGAGGTTTTCCCAGGCTCCAGATGTGCCAGAGGTTTCTGCCGGTTGAGCGCGATGCCAGCTGTAGACCAGCGGTTCGGGGAGAAGAGCCCGGGCCTCTGAAATGCACGGTCCTAATTACTTACTTCTGATGGCATTTCTTCTACGGGGCCTACTTGTTTAGCCCAAACCAGTTTACTCTTCCCGGGAAGGGAATTGGGCAACGAAAGCCTGCCAGTTGCTGGGGCAAATAAGAGAGCAGTCCCTTTATGTCTATGGAGATTCTGAATCATTCCGGATCATAGTTGTTCCAAAGGTGCTTTTTTTCCCAAAAAGCCACTGGATTTTCTTGATTTCTTGGATGAGAAGCGAAACGTTTTCAAAGGGGAAAAAAAAAAATCAAGAAAATCCAGTGGCCTTTAGGAAAAAGCAGCTTTGAGATGAGAGCAGTTCCTTTCCTTACATGTACTGCACACAATAATTGCCTTCTCACTGCCCAGTTCCTGCCTTGGTTTTTCTGGCTGGTGTCAATATAAAGAAATTGGCAGTGCCCTCCCACCTGGGATGAGTTAATGGACACACTGGGTGGTAGGAATTTGAAGGTGCTGCAAGAAGAAACAAGTGTATAAGTGTGACAAGTTTGTTTATTCATTTACTTGATTTATAGTGGGGGGGGGGTTTTCAAACCTGGCAACTTTAAGATGTATGGACTCCAATTCCCAGAATTCCCCAGCTAGTTATCTAGCTAGCTGGGGAATGGCTGGCTGAGGATTTCTGGGAGTTGAAATCCATATATCTTGCAGTTGCCGAGGTTGAAAAACACTGATTTATAAGGATCAGGGAAAAGGAACTTATAGGAGTGTTAGAAACATAAAGTCACTCAAACAACAATGCAGGGAAAGATAAAAACTTAAATTCAAACACTTCAGTGGATTCACAATTCATTCTGGGCCAAGCATTTGCTGGAAGGGGCATGTTTTTAAAGCAGGGGTCTTCAAAGGTGGCCCTTTTATGACTTGTGGACTTCAACTCCCAGAATTCCTCAGCTAGGCAAGGCCTCAATCCAAGATGAATTTATGATGGCCCTGGTAATTGTTGGTATTTGGACATCCCCCCCCTCCCCAAACTTGAGGTGCATACTTTAAAACAAAGGAATCAACATTGAAAACCATCTTTTATACCCAGCAGAAAAAATCCAGACAGCTCAGAAACCTAGGGGGACTCACAACCACTGAATGGCAAGGTTTTAGAGACATTGAGATCACTGGAGTGACTGTAGTCTAACGTAGCTAAAGGGTGCTAAATCATACTTGACAAATCTCATATCAGCTGATAAAACCAGTATTAACAAAAGATGGTTGGAGGGCTGCGTGAAAGGAAATATAATCCCAGCTGTTAGCAAACATGGGCAGCCAAGAAAGTTCAGAGGATCTGGGCCTGCAATTGAAAAGTCATTTTTCCTTTCATTGTGGCTCTGGTACGGACTACCTATGACTGGTCCTTTGGAGTCTATTTGAGGTTACAACAGACAACCCCGTCCCCAGTACCGGTGATTTGGTTCTGAAGTCCTGATGGCTGCCCTTCTTCCATGATCATGTGACCTCAGGTTGGGCACTTGGCAACTAGCCCTCATTTATGGCTGTTTGTAGCAACGTGCAGGCACGTGACCATATTTGCCAAAAACACATTTACTTCCCATTTGGGGCAAAAACAGCCCATAATGAACATTTTAGGATTGGAGGCTTCATTACAAATTACCTGTAGAGGAATTTATGATCTGGCATTTCCCGCTTAATACTTTGGGGAGATGTTTCTTGGGAACATTTCTAAGTGAAATGCTGTTTTAGACTGCCTAAGAAAATAAATGTCTTCTTAGGGCCTTGGATCTGATCTCCAGAAAGTATCCAAGTACAGGAGTAGAGTTCAAAGCACTAAAAGTTTATTATCTGCTACCGATACCTAAACATTTGATTTATTAATGGCCAAGACAATTTTTTGCTAGATAAGGGTCAATGGAATTCATAGGAGGCTGGACTTAGATGGGAATGCAATGACTCCAAACTAAAGACCCATTTAACTTGGCCTTAAATTCATCTGCTCATCTCCTACACAAAGTGCTGCTTTGAAGAGCATGGAGGTAGCCCCTTTAAAACAGCCACACTTTTCCCAGCATCACAACTACAGAGGGAAGCTGTGCAATCCTGGCAATGTTGTTGTTTAGGAGTTTGTAGAAAAGGCTTTCTAGCCTTGTTTATGCTTTCTAGCCTTCTTGAAACCTTTTAGAAGTCCAGGTCCAAAGTCTTGCAATGCACTGTTCTAGCGTGATTTTGGTTTTGGCTTAGACCAAATATGCAGTTGGACCATAAGCCAAATATACTGAGTGTCCTGGAATCCAGCAAAATTGCAATTTCCAGAGAAACAACTGAATACAGTTTTGAAGGCAAAGCTTTGGAACATATCTTCAGATGAAACAAAGCAGATTTTCATCCCCCATCCCCCCAGAGGGAGGATTAAAGAAAGTTGGCTAATTATCTGTAGTTTAACTACTTTAATTACTTTGATCCCCGAAGCCCCATGAATATTTGATTGGAACAGATGACATATTAAAAATGGTATTATTAACACTCCCAGGTTTAATGAATTGAAACGTCTTTGTCTTTCAGCAGACATTCAAGATGATTCAGACCTGTTCTTTCCCAGATGTGCAATCCAGTTTTCCTTTTTAGAGCCAGTGGAATATTTATTACTATTCTGTCTTTCCTTCAGGAACTCAGTATGGCATGCATGGTGCTTGTATCGCCATTTCCCCCCCAAATAGCAACCTGAGACTGAGAAAGAGGGTGGAGCTGGCCTAAGGTCATTGGGATGTAAATTGATAAGAATAAAAATAATAAATATTCACAGGCCCTCCATTTTCAATTACAGTGGGTCATCTACAGCAGTGTTTCTCAGCCTCAGCAACTTTAAGATCCATGGACTTCAGAGTGAATTCTCCAGCCATCATGTGGATAAGGGAGAACTTACTACAGACTGACCTCATTAGCAAGTTCCTGGGATCAGGGGCATTGAGAATCCAGGGATCAGGAATTGATTTTGAATGTAAATGCGATGGAAGTAAATGGATGTTTTTTTCCTCTAGATCTCACATGGCTTGCACGAGTTCGGGTGAATCATCCAGCTGTTCTAAAGCGGGCAGGGCAAATTCAAATGAAACGGGCCATGAAAAAGAATTGGCAGGTGAGAAGGTCCCTACTGTTGGGTTTCCAAAAGAGACAATCTTTTCCTGTGAATTTTAGCACAGTCTTCTGTTCACGATGTTTGATGCTTTTGTCATCAAAACTCAACAGTGACAGTGGGCCAATGAAAGGTGATCTGTTTATCCAACTCAGTTTCAGACTTGGAAGGCCCAAAAAACCCCAGCTAAAATACACATGTTTACATCAAGAGTGAAAATTTGGCAGCTATGTACCTCTATGTCAAGGGTAGGCAACCTTGGCTCTTTTATGACTCGTGGACTTCAACTCCCAGAATTCCTGAGACAGCATGACTCAGCTTGGAAACCACTCCATTTTCCCTCAGCATGGCTGACTCAGGAATTCTGGGAGTTGAAGTCCACAAATCATAAAAGAGCCAAGGTTGCCTACCTCTGCTCTTATGTTTTTATCTTGCCATTAGAATGGGGGGGGGGAAGTGTTGTTTTCGAAGGGGTTAGTTAGAGAAATGAAACCTTTCCAGTTCTATGGAAGCTTGCTAAAAGTCCACAGAATGGAAACCTTTCAAGGACATTCCAGCAGGTATGAAGAAGATAGCAGACAGATACGTGGTTATCTGGTTGTGGGGATTGGCTGGGAAAGTTATTGTTATATGCTATGGTCTGATGCCTTGGGATTTTAGTGTTAGTTTAATGTCTGTAAGATTATCTGGGGCACTACACATCCCCTTCACGACCTGTTTTCCTTGCTACCTTCTGGGAGGAGGCTTCGTGGGATCTGTAGCAGAACATCCAGATTCAGCCATAGTTTCATTCCATACAGCATTAACCTTGTGAACTCTCAAGCTTCCTCCTTCCTTATGTATTCAAGATGGACAGCATTTAATATTTATTTGCTATGTATATATAGGGATGTGGGTCTATACATATGTTGTACATAGTATGTTTAGGTATGTGTCATGTATGTGTTTCACTTTGAGAGCGGGCAACTAAATTTCATTATTGATGTGTGCCGTTGTGCCCACAGTAAAAAAAATGACAATAAAGGTCATCTTATCTTATGTCATCTTCCAGCTGAAGTACCCTAATAAAAATCCAAGAAAATGTTCTTTTCTGAAAAGCTTACTGTTTATTGAATACCTTGCTTGTACCAATAATATATCAATAAACAATAAGCTTTTCGGAAATGAAAATCATCCTGGACTTTCAGCTGGATAGATGTCTTGCGGGACAAGTTGGAAATGCCTTGCTTCCAAATGCTCTGAATAAAGATCACATTTTTCAGGAATTACATGCAGTCCTCAAGTTAGCAACCATTCGTTCAGTGACCATTTGAAATGACAATGGCACTGAAAAAAAGAGGCAAATGACCGGTCCTCACACTTAAAACCATTGCAGTGTCCCCAAAGTCACATAATCCAAATTCAAACACTTGGCAACAGGTGTGTATTTACAACACTTGCAGCATCATATGGTTGCCTTTTACAATCTTCCCAGTTGGCTTTTGACTGGCAAAGTCAATGAGAGAGGCTGAATTCACTTACTGTCCACATGATTCACTTAACTGTAGTGATTCATTTAATAACAGTGACAAAACGGTCGTAAAATTGGGGCCGATGCACTTAACAACTGCTTTACCTAGCAACAGAAATTCTGGACCCAAATGTGGTCATAAATCAAGGATTAGCTTTACCCAGTTAAGTTTTCAGGGCAGGACCCCACTGATAAAAACAACTTTCCAAATGATTTTTAAAAAGCTATTTATCCTACTGCCTCTTCAGTTCAAACTGAGTCTTGGAATTGTTTTCACTGTATTTGTCTTTACACTTTGCAAACGAGACTAGAATTCCCTTCCGAGCTGCTAATTGTATATTCTTTTCTATTTCTTATAGATAACATGGGGATTCAAGTAGATCCCTTTTCTACACTGAAAAAAACTTGCTTTAAATCAAAACAGAAAAAAGAGTTGCATACTTTTAATAATGGTGTGGAGTAGGAGAATAAGTTGAAATCTCTCTTTTTCTGCTTTCAGTAATGGTATGGTACCAGTAAATATACAAGGTACCAAATGATGTTGGCAGATACATATCTTAACTAATTTGACTATTGTTTATGCAAAACTAATACCGTATATGCCGGCGCATAAGGCGACGTCCGCAAGCGTTAAAATCGGCGCCAAAGACAGGGGTCGTCTTATACGCCAAGTCGTCTTATACGCTGGAAATACTGGTAGTTTCCAGTGTATAAGACGACGTTCTAGGCATGCGACTCGGCGCCAAAGACGGGGGTCGTCTTATACACCGGGTTGCCTTATACGTTGGCATATACGGTAGTTGCTACTTAATTTGTGACTTGTTTAAAATCAGAAGCAGGCAGATTAGAAGAAGGAGAAATATGACAGACTAGAGCAGGGGTGTCAAACTGCTGGCCCACGGGCCGGATGCGTCATGCCAAAATCGTGCCCACCCCAGCTCCAGCAAGGGGGAAAAAGTCATGATACATCACGACATGTCACGTAACATGGTGAGTTTGACACCCCTGGATTAGAAGCTGCTATTGGTCTAGGACTGAGGTGATCTATGTTTGTGTCTACTCTTGACCGTGAAAGACTTTGAATCAGTTCAATCACAGTTGTGGTATTCTGGAGATATAAACAAGGAAAGCCACCATGCACCCCATGGTTCTTTCTGTTGTTTATCTGTCCTGTGAGAAAACTTAGCAACCACCAGATGGCAGCAAAACACATAGAAAACTCTTAGCTGCCTTCTGCTGGTCATCTGTGGTTGCTCTAATCAAGGATCCAACCACAATTACAGGTAGTCCTCGAATGAGATTGCTAAGCAAGATAGTTGTTAAGTGAGTTTTACTCCATTTTACGACCTTTCTTGCCACAGTTGTTAAGTGAATCACTTAAGTGTGAACAATGGTTATAAGTCACATTTTTCACTCCCGTTGTTCTTGTTGAATGTTCACTGAATGAACGGGTGTAAGTCAAGGACTATCTGCACCAACTGTGTAGCTCAATTGTAAGGACATTATTTTGATAATTTTGGTGTGTGTGTTTTTAAAATAAAGGCAGCTTGGCTTTTGAGAGCCGTCACCTGCATAGACCTCACCACCCTTTCTGGAGATGACACCCCATCCTATGTTTGCAGATTGTGCTACAAAGCCAAACATCCCATCCGAGAGGATTTGTTACAAGCCTTGAAAATGCATGATAAAGGTACTTTGTGGTTATGAAACCTTGGCTCTATCTGAGTAAAGTGTACTGATAATTTTTAATGTTCTTGTCCTTCATCACACAGAGAAACAAGGTGAGTAGAAATAGCTGTGTTAGCAATGTGATATGCAATGTGAAAATGGAAGAAAAAAGGGGGGAAAATATGGAAAAGTATATTGCAAATACAACAGCACCAGAGCAATTGACCCAAATGGATCAAAAGTCCTCTTGAAAAACAAAACAAAACAAAAATGGCAGGAGAATTGCTTTGATTTGCTTTTTTTCTGTAGCTTCCCCCAACAATTTCAAGTGCTGGACGAGGCTAAGTGGAGGCTGTGAGAATAAGCAAAGCACTTGATCAAGGTAAATGGTGGTGTCTCTTCACAGTAATGCAAATTGCATTAAGGAACATTAAAACTGCCTTGCACAGGTTTAGAGTGGATCAATCCTACTTCTGTGGCATAATCACTCTTCAAACCATTCCCCAAGCATGGAAAATTCACAGCGCTTGAGGTCCTGATAAATCTCAAATATTAAGGATATTGCCAAGAAGAATAGAATAGAATAGAATAGAATAGAATAGAATAGAATAGAATAGAATAGAATAGAATAGAATCTGGAAGGGACCTTGGAGATCTTCTAGTCCAGCCCCCTGCTCAAGCAAGAGAACATATACCAGTGGTGGTGAACCTATGGCACGCATGCCAGAGGCGGCACTCAGAGCCCTCTCTGTGGGCACGCGCGCCATGCCCTGTAGATGGCAACCGTCCCTCTTCAACCAGCCACCCACTAACTTGCCGAGGTCTCACATGGCCAGATGCATCCCAGAATGGCTGGTTTCCCTCCCCCCCCATCCCATCCCTTCAAAAGTCTTTCAAAATAATGTTCAACTTGCTGCCTCTGCAAACATATGGGAGAGGACTTTGAAGGCAAATTAAATGCTAGGGACTCCGTCCCAAGCTAGATGGGCCGATCATGGACTCTCATAATCCCTACATGGCTGGGGATTTGGGGAGTTGAAGTCCATCTATGCAGAGTGCAAAATTAGGGAAGGCTCCATTGGAGGGACTTAGGTTAGTGGACAAGAGCCACATGAAGATAACGGAGGGATCCTTAGCGCTCGCTGAGCTTGGTGGCTTTCTTGCAGATGTTTCATTATACCCAAACTAGGTAACATCAACAGTGCTCAAGCAGTGCTTGAGTTCTGTTGAAGTTACCAACTTGAGTAATGAAATGTCTGCAAGAAAGCCTCCAAATTCACAGAGCACTAAGGATCCTTCGTTTCAGTTCTGAGCTGCAAATATTCTCCTTTATTGAAGATAACAGAGCTTTGATGATGGTTCCTTTCCAGGCATTACCACAGCAGCAGTTTGTGTCTATCCGGCTAGAGTAACCGATGCAGTTAAGGCTCTCAAATCTGTTGGCTGCCACATCCCCGTGGCTTCAGGTAAGCTCTCCGCCTGAATTTCAGAAGGGGAGATTCAGAATCGTATGCTGATTTTATTCATTTGGTTCCTTAAAGATTCTGGCTGGAGTGGCATAGTGGCCTAGAGGTGAAGACGCTCACCTCCCACTCAGAAGGTAGAGAGTTCAATCCTAGGCAGCAACAGATGTATCTCTATCAGAGCATAAAGAGAAAATATCTGCTGGGAACTCCGCATAGGCGTCAAGGAGGGCATCCAGCCAGCAAATGCTCAGCTCCATTTAGTTGCTCGGATTCCACCCCAAATCAGAGAATCACAGGGTCATAAAAAGAGGGGGAAAAATCAAAGATTCTGTCTTGTTCTCAACTGATGAACAGTCCCATATGTGCCATATGGGATGCCATATGTTACTAGAAGCTAACCTTGATGCAGCTCTGAATTGAAAAGAAACGTTGAGCCCTAAAAGTCTATGATCAAAATCAAGGCCATGAAATGAAATGAGATGTATTTGTGCAGTGTTGCTACTTCAGTGCTGCTTCTGTTTAGATCCAAAGGTGATTCAGAAAGTCCACCATGGGTCGCAGGAGCGATTAATTTAATAAGGAAAAGAACGCTAAAGAAAGCACATGCAGGCATTCCTCACTTAACAGCCACAATTGGGATGAGCAACTCAGTAGCAAAGCAATAAGGTTGTAAAATGAGACGTCACATGACTGTGACAGGCATAAAACCTCACTTCTGCAGCAGTTGTTAAACAAATCACCTGTGGTCATTAAGCAAGACCTTACTACTTGTGATTTTACTGCCGGCTTCTCCTTTGACTTTGTTGGAAGCCGACTGTGAAACACACAAATGGTGGTGAAATGATTATGGGACACTGCAGTGGTTGTAAGTTGTAAGGTTAGTGGGCAAGAGCCACATGAAGATCAATTGTAAAGTTAGCTTTTCAGTGCTGTCATAACTTCAAATAGTCACTAAAAAGCGCCGCTGTTAAGTAAGGACCACCTGTATTTAGCTTCTTTTCTTATCCCCAAATTCTCAAAGGAAAAATCACAGGGAAAGTGAATCTGTCTGTCTCTCTGTCTGTCTGTCTCTCTCTCTCTCTCTCTCTCTCTCTCTCTGTGTGTGTGTGTGTGTGTATCTGTCTCTGTCTTTCTGTGTGTCTGTCTCTCTCTGTGTCTCTGTCTCTGTCTCTCTCTCTCTCTCTCTCTCTCTGTCTTTCTCTTTGTCTATCTGACTTTCTTTGTCTTTCTCTGTCGCTGTCTCTCTGTCTCTGTCTCTCTCTGTCTCTCTCTCTTTGTATGTCTGACTTTCTCTGTCTTTCTCTGTGTCTCTGTCTGTCTGTCTCTCTCTCTGTCTCCTTTGTCTGACTTTCTCTGTCTCTCTGTCTCTCTCTCTTTGTCTCTCTCTCTCTGTCTCACTCACTCTCTGTCTCTCTCTCTCTCTTTGTCTCTCTCTGTCTGATTGTGTCTGTCTGTCTGTCTCTCTCTCTCTCATATCTATGGCTTGTCATTTTGCCCCCATCTCACAGGGGTGGGTGGGAACTCTCAGCAAGCCTACCTGCACTAGCAACTGCATGAAACAGCAGTATGGTCTGGAGCCAATGTTATTAGATGCTTACTCATCAGTAAATCAGTCTCCGACAAATTTAACTTGGCCTTGGTTTGCTCCATTTGGATCCTCCCAGAGACTCCAAACACTAGTTCAAAACTTCCATACCACTTACAATTTGCTCAAGGAGGGGTGACATCTGATTGTGACCATGACTGATGGAATCAAAAGTTGCTGCGAGGTCTAATAGAAGTCCTATATCTAGGTCCTGTTACAGTATATTGCCACACTATTTTAATATCCCTCATGTTTTTAATGGATTTTGTTTTTCTGTTCTTAGTGGCAACTGGATTCCCGGCAGGACAGACAGCTCTGAAAATTCGTTTAGCGGAGATCCAGCTAGCTGTGGAAGAAGGGGCCAAAGAGATTGATGTTGTAATTAATCGAACCTTAGTACTGACGGGCCAATGGGAAGGTGAGCATTTGCATAGTCTTAAAATCAAGATCACGTGAAGAATTAATATCACTTTATAATGCCTTGGTAAGACCACACTTGGAATACTGCATCCAGTTTTGGTCACCACGATGTAAAAAAGATGCTGAGACTCTAGAAAGAATACAGAGAAGAGCAACAAAGATGATTAGGGGATTGGAGGCTAAAACATATAAGGAACGGTTGCTGGAATTGGAAATGTCTAGTTTAACGAAGAGAAGGACGAGGGGGGACATGATAGCAGTATTCCAATATCTCAGGGGCTGCCACAAAAAAGAGTCAAGCTATTCTCCAAAGCGCCTGAAGGCAGGACAAGAAGCAACGGGTGGAAACTAACCAAAGAGAGAAGCAACCTAGAACTAAGGAGAAACTTCCTGACAGTTAGAACAATTAACCAGTGGAACAACCTGCCTCCAGAAGCGGTGAGTGCTCCAACACTGGAAGTTTTTAAGAAGAAACTGGACAGCCATTTGGCCAAAATGGTATAGGGTTTCCTGCCTGAGCAGGGAGTGGACTAGATGACCTCCAAGGTCCCTTCCAACTTTTTATTGTTGTTGTTGTTGTTGTTATTATTATTATTATGGATCATCGCACAGTCAGCCAGATGTTCAGACTGGATTTCGCATTTTGTCTACCTAGCGAGTCCTTACCCAGGACCTGGGATAGGCAGATGTGAATGTTTGATATTACAGATATCGTCGCAGGATGGAAGCAGTTCCTAGTAAGGCCATCTTTTGCAATTGACTAATGGCAAATTTGTCAGTGCCAATGGTGTTCAAGTGGTATTATTATTATTATTATTATTATTATTATTATTAAAAATCAAAGTTCTAGGGTAGATTCCCTCCACCTCCCACTCCCATGTCAGCCCTGCTGGATAAATCAGTCAGGAAATTTAGCTAGATGAGCCAAATCTACTTTACTGTAAGGCTACTTGAACAGAATCTTGCCAGACTGAAAGTATAAACTTCCCACCCTTCACTTTTAACTGCTTGCTCCATTTGGGTGGGTCCTAAGTCTCTAAGGTGAAAAAAAAATATTTAAGTTTTTAATTCTCAGCTCATTTGAAACCATTTGCTCAGTTGCTGGTTGCCAGACATGATCAGAAATTCCCTGCAGCTAGTCCTCGGTTAACGACCATAATTAGGACTGGGAACTCCATCTCTAAATGAGACTGTCATAAAGGGGAAAAAAATCACCACACAAGTTTACGATGATCGTTCCAATTGTGGTTATGAAACAAATCACTCATAGTTAAGTGCAAGATTATTTGATCTCGGCTTCCGGCCAGCTACCCCATTGGCTTTGCTTGCTGGCAGCTGGCTGTGAAACTTGCAAATGGGGATCATGGAACCGCAGGACCCTGTGATTGTCATAATTTTGGGCCAGTTGTCCAGTGCCTGAATCGTGATCACATGACCGTGGGGATGCTTCCAATGGCCATAAGTGTGAGGAGCAGTCAGAAGTCACTGTTCAATGCCATTGTAATTTTGAATGGTTGCTAAGTGTGAACACCTCTACATGCCATTGCCTATAATATATGCAGAAAGGTGGACTAACATAGATGTTCAGCAAGTTGGTAGTGGAGATTTATTTACCTTTCATTTGCCTGCTTTGAGAATAGTCTTATTTTCTTAGCTACTGGCTACATTTTGGGCACAAACATTTTGCTGTAGTTATAGTTGGCCAAGAGTTTGCAACTGTGTTCAGCGTGTTCAAAATTTCCAAGTGATTCTTCAGAAATTTTGAACCTCTTTTTTTGCACGCTTGCAGGTGGTTGCCTTTTTAAAAAAACCTAAATGTGTTTACGGCTGCCACAAATTTTGCAAATACCTCTGGTGTGTGTGTGTGTGTGTGTGTGTAAAAAATAAAATCGACATTTTCTGCAAAACTATATTGTGAAAATTCAATCCATCCACACTGTTCTCTAAATTAAGAGCCGGTGTGTGTGTGTGGGAAAAGAAAACTGGTGGGGTGCTAGTGTTCTAATTCTTTGTAACACAATTGTTAAAAAGAATTTCAAAGAGGTTTTTTTTTTTTGGTTTAGGTGGTATGTCATGTTTTAAAAAAAATGTGTGCTGGATTCTTGACAACAAAATCTGTATTTTCTAATTGGTTTTCACAGAATTTCAAGGCACATGTGTTACTGTTTAGATTGCTATGGCTAGTTGTCTCCCTAGAATGCTATTAATTAGTAGATTTTAATGCCACAGGAGATATCTTTTCTCTGTAATTGGGTTTTCCTTAATGTACCTTGAATGGTTTGCCTTTAAGTGCTGACAGAGCTCCCAACAATTGGATTCTGGGTAGAGGGGGAAAAAAGGATGCAATTAACATACATGCATTAAAACACAACTTTTTCCTCCCCGTTGTTTTGGCTGAATGATATAGTGATGATAACCTCCACCTCTTTCATAACAGCTTTTTTATTATATTTTATTATATTTGTGGCCAAAAAGTCTTTCAGAGTAGGTTGCAAATCACAGTTCTTGCTTTCAAGGCAATATTTAGAAGAAGGCAAGCAAGGAAAGAGGGCTGAGCCAAAGTTTTTCTTATTAAGCGAGAGATTTGTTAAATGAATTTTGCCCCATTTTACAACTTTTCTCTCACCATAGTTGTTAAGAGAATCACTGCAGTTGTTAAGTTAGTATCAGGGTTGTTAACCAAATCTGGGTTCCCTATTAACTTTGCTTGTCAGAAGATCACAAAAGGTGATCACATGACCCTGGGACACTGCAACATCATAAATATGAGTCAGTTGCCAAGCATCTGAATTTTGATCAGTTGACCATGGGGATGCTGCAACGGTCATAAGGATTGAAAATGGTTACTAAGTTACTTTTTTTAGTGCCATTGTAACTTCAAACGGTCACTAAGTTGAGGACTAACGTAGTTCAGATTGCTTGATGGAATTGCTCCAACTGAGTGTGATTTGAGAGAGACAAAGGACAAATGATTTCTCAACGTAACTGTTTGCTTTTTCTGGTGAATGAATTTTGTCCTAGCTGTGATTCGGAGCCCTAAAAGAGATACTGGATTTGCCCTCTTTTTTTCTTGATAATTTTCACTGGAAATGGCTTGTAAATTGCTTTTTGGATATTGTGAACCGTCAGAATGAGGCATTTTATTACCCTGGGTGACTGTCCTCCAACTCACATTAAAATAGAATTTACGTAAGTTTAAAAGTTAAAGAAAACCTTTTTTATTTGGAAATAAGCAGCAAAAGGGCGATTAGAATGGGAAACTTTTTTAAAAGGCTGGACGCGACACTTTGAAAAAACAAGAATACTTTCTGTAGTTTGTTTAAAATCTTATTAAAAGTATATGAAGATTTTGAGTTTATGTGTAAGAAATCTTTCCCTGGGAAAATGTTGTGGATTAGAGAAAAACAGTGTAAGAGGAGATTTTGAAGGTTGGTTACTAGAAGCAACCGCAAAAAAATCTAAAGATTATAATTAAAGGAGAAGATCTGCTGATACAGAATGGAGAAAAGTATTTTAACTCTGGAAAAATACAAGGATATTTGGCAGTATTCAGAAGTTTCTTTTTAAGATTGTTTCTTATTATAAAAATGGGTTCAAAAGAAGAAAGAGGAGAAGATACAAGTGAGAATCAGGCTGTTTTGGACATGGATTTAAAATTGACAGGATACAAGAATGATACTGACAAAGATGTTATACAGGATTCACAAATGAAATCAATTAATTTTTTAATAGCTAAAACAGACACACAAGTAATAAATGGGAAGAGTGACTTTGATTGTGAAGATTTCAATTCAGAAGAATGACTAAGGTAACTGTTTTATTTTGGACTTACAAAAAATGTTTTACATCTCTGAGGGAGTTTCTGAGAAAAAATTAAAAGGGAATTAAAAAAAATCATTTCTGGAACCTACTTAAAAGAAATAACCATCAAGATTTTTAAAAGTAAAAATAAGATATATAAAGTTGCTTTCTTCGATCAAGGTTAAAATGTATTTGATGGGGTTTTTTTTTCCTAAGGAGCTTTTAATGAGTTTTTCTTGACCAGGATTAAATGATGAGGCTTTAAAGATTTGTCTATAGATAAGATATGATAAGAGAAGATTTTTTTTTGTAGTGATAAGCTGTGGTATTAAAATGGCAGGAAAGTGTTAAACTTGTGAAAAAGTTTCTAAGAAGTATGAAGAAAAGATGATAAGAAATTAATTTGTGGGACATGATTTGATGGGATTAAATTTCAATATGGTGTTGTTTCTGGTAGCTCTTAATAGAATTTTTTCTGATTAACCTTAAATGATGAGACTTTAAAGATTTGTTTATCAATATGAGATAAGACATGAGAAGAGAAGATATTTTTTTTGTATTTTTAGAGAAAATGATAAATTAGTGTGTAAAATAAATGAAAGAAATATGGAATTGATTTACTTGTTTAAGATATATTATTTCTGATAGCTCTTAATGGACTTTTGGGGATTAAAATTGAATGATGAGGATAAATTATTTGCTAATAGATAAAAATAAAATATGAAACAAAAAGATTTTAGGTTGAAATATTAAGGTGATAAGTTATTGAAATGGTTTGTACTTGTCTTAATGAAGTCATTTCTATATATTTTTTTTCTTTTCTTTTATATATATTTTTCTTTCTTCCCTTATTTTTTTCTCTGTGCACTTTTTTGTATTTTTTCTTCTTTGGGTATGTGTTTGAAATTGACAGGATTCCAGAATGATAGTGACAAAGATATTATAAAGCAGTGTTGGGCTCCTTAAAAACACATGGACTACAATTCCCAAAATTTGCTGGCTGGGAATTCTTAAAGTGGACCAGGTTGAGAAACACTGTTATAAAGGATTTACAAATGAAATTGATGGATGTCTTAATAGCTAAAACAGACACACAAGTAATAATTTGGAAGAGTGACTTTGAATGTGTGGATTTGGATAATAACTTTTTTATTTCGGACTTACAAAAGAGGTGGGTTATACCACTGAAGAATATTTTATTGTATTTGTTTTTTATCTTTGTATTTTTAAACTTCAGTAAAAAATACATATATGAAAAACCAGCATATGCACTCCACAGCACGGTACTATGTTAAATTTATCTGCTGCTATTCCTCTAAGACAGCATTTTCCAATCTTCCCAGCTTTAAAATATGTGGACTTCAAAACCCAGAATCCCTTGGAGTTGAAGTCCACGTACTTTAAAGTTACCAAAATTGAAAAGCACTACTCTAAAAATTCAGGAAATCTTTACACTGGTATCCATAACACTTTCCTATCTAGTTTTATCCCCATAACAGAATTTTGAGCAGTTGGGTTGAAAGACAGAGACCAGTCTAAAGACAACAGCGAGTTTCCTTAGCTGAATAGAATAGAATAGAGCTGGAAGGGACCTTGGAGATCTTCTAGTCCAGCCCCCTGCTCAAGCAGGAGAACCTGTACCATCTCAGACAGGTGAATGTCTAGTCACTTCTTTAAAATCTCCAGTGATGGAGCGCCCACGATTTCTGAGGGTAAGCTGTTCCTCGGGTTGATTGTCCTAACTGTCAAGAAGTTTCTCCTTAATTCCAGGTTGCTTCTCTCTTTGATCAGTTTCCAACCATTGTTTCTTGTCCTTCCCTCTGGTGCTTTGGTGAACAACCTGGCCCCCTCTGCCTTGTGGCAGCCCTTCAGATACTGGAACACTGCTATCATGTCTCCCCTATTTCTTCTTTTCTTTAGACTAGCCAAACCCAATTCCCACAGCTGTTCTTGATATGTTTTAGTCTCCAGGCCTTTGATCATCTTAGTTGCTCTTCCCTGAATTTTTTCCAAACTCTCGACATCTTTTTTGTGATATGGTAACTTGAGAGTGACTTGAATCTGACTCTCCCCGTTTCCTGTGCCTCTCCCATATGGGCCCAATAGGAATGCTAGATAGCTACACCCCGCTGTCGTATTTGGACAGGTATCCAATTGGCCAAGAAAGTCTTATGTTTGGGGCTGCAGTCCCAGGAACTGTATCTGAAAGGATAGTCAGAAATATGTCACCATTTTTGTTCTAGTAAATGGATGCCTTGTGACTGGCCATGATAAGCAGCAATTTTGTGAACAGACTAGCTGGTTTCTCATGGCAGCCATCTTGTGAATAGGCAATAGACAATAGAGCATGATGTCGCGTGATGTATCGGAGCTTTTTCTCCATTGCCAGCAATGGGGTGGGCGCGGTTTTGGGATGACGCGTCCGGCCCACGGGCCGGCAATTTGACACCCCTGCAATAGAGCTTAATTCAGTCCTGTGTGTTGCCCATTTCTGATTATTTTTCCCAGTTGAGAGGTAGCAGTCAGAGCTGTCCATACAGATCAAGGGTGGCAAATCTTTGGTGGCCACTTAGACAGGACTGAAAATTCCAGAGGGGTTAAGAGTTATACCAACACAATTTGGAGAAGATGAAATTTTTCTTTGTTTTTTAACTATACTTATTTGAGGGCTTACATTACAACTTTTATGTGTTTCTCACCTAAAAGCAGCTGGAAATTGCTGTCACATGGTTGGAGATCTTCCCAGGACTGCAAAAACGAGATCTCAGACCCCCATACCGCTTGTGGCTGCTAGTTGCCCATCCATGATAGAATGTCAGTAATGGACCTGGTAGCTTGCAAAGAACAAGAAGTTGAGGGAAATTACAATTGAAAATTTAAAATAGGACAAATGATGCCAGGGAAGAGAGGGGACATAAAGGCAATAAGCTGCTCAGAATCACTCAACAGTGAGATGGGTGGCATATAAATGTAATAACTAAAAATAAATAAATAGAAAACTGAAGACAATGTCATTCTTTACTTGGTGTACTTAAATTTAGAGGACAACTGACATTGCATTTAATGGTTTTCACAGAAATGGCGAGTTTGAGGTGGCATTTGAAGGATACTATATGGGTAGTCCTCAACCTGTGACCACAGCTGAGCTCAAAATTTCTGTTGCTAATCTACACAATTGTTAAGTGAGTTTTGCCCCACGTGACAACCTTTCTTGCTACAGTTGTTAAGTGTATCATTGCACTTGTTAAGATAGCAACACAGTTAAGTGAATCTGGATTCCCCCTTGACTTGGCTTACCGAAAGATCACAAAAAGGGATCACATGACCCCGGGACACCACAACCGTCATAAATATGAGCCAGTTGCCAAACATCTGAATTTTGAGCTCATGACCCTGCGGATGCTGCAATGGTCATAAGTGTGAAAAACGGTCATAAGTCACTTTTTCAGTGCTGTAACTTGGAATGGTCACTAAATGTAAGTCAAGGACTTTCTTTAATGTAAAGAACAAAGATTCTGGACACATCTGTTGTATTTTCTTTGCTTCCAAGTTAACCGTGTCTACGTATTTGTAGTTGAGATAGTCCACTAAAAAGTTGATTTGTGATGGATTGTGAATTAGAGAAGCGATCAGGTGCATTTTGAAAGGAATGGCCTTGGATGTTCCTCTCTCTCCTTCAGGCACAATCTCCTTTCCATTTTTTTTTTTAAAAAGCTCTGTAAAGAGCTTGTGGCAAAGTTGAGGGTTATGTTTGATGGAAAGCCGTTGGGCTCACTCAACACTCTTTCAGCATTGAATGCAACTCTAAAATCACTGAAAATGTTAAGTACTCTAACGTACAGTATGTCCAATTATGCTCATCTCTAAGTTAAATCTGCTGTTACCTATTGTAGTGTATCTGCATAACACTTGAACTATAATTTGTCTAAGCCTGGGCTTTAACAATTATTTTAAGTGTTCTCTTAATGGATTGGAATATAAAAGCAAGGTATTGTGAGCACTATATCCCCCCCCCTTTTTTTTCATTTAGGAATGGAATCCTTGCATTGGAGTTACAAAAGTCTTTTTTTTTTTATGCACAGCTTTTTGCTACCTGAGTTTTATTCATACTTTGGGGGGGGGGGAACCTACTAAAATTCTTGTGAGTTTTTTTTTTCTCTAAAAGTATGTCATAAGCAATAGGAAAGGATAAAAGCTGTGTAAGTCTTGGAATCTGGTCTTGGATCCAAAAATACTTGAAGATCAGGGAAGTCCTATGATCCCTGTTACCAAAGTTCAATCAAAGCCCTCCCAGCATATTCAAAGATAGACTGCCCTTGAAAATGGAAGAGCTATTCAGTCTCTTATATACCTGTTAGTCTTCTGGGATAAGGAGGCTTTCACTGAAATGATCAACATGTGATAAAACATACCGTATTTTCCGGCGTATAGGATGGCTCGGCGTTTAAGACGACCTCTGACTTCGGAGCCGATTTGCATGCCTAGAAAGTCGTCTTATATGCCGGAAACTACTGTAATTTCCGGCGTATAAGACGACTCAGCGTATAAGACGATCCCCGACTTCAGAGCTGATTTGCATGCTTTAGAAAGTCATCTTATACGCTGGAAAATACGGTATTAGAAAAAGGGATTTTTGTTACCTTAGTTGGGCTCCCCGTGAATACTGTTGGGTCTTCAACTGGTTTCCCACTGTGCTGTGCGGTGACAGACTGCCATGAACTGTGGGGAGGGGGAATGACGAGGGGAAGGCTTGGGGGAAAATGAAAGTAATGGCTGCACCTCTTTGAGATGCTGCCTCAAGGTCACCCAGCTGGAAGAAGAAAGGAGCCACAAACCAAACCTTGTTTGGACTGACTGTTACGAAAACATCTGCAATACATGTGACCTTTAATATACTATACCTTTTTCAACAAAGGGGGCTAAGGATCATTTCTGTTTAGAGGTTTAACTTGTGGCAAGTCTGAAACCCACCCTGCCTTTTATTAATAATAATAATAATAATGTCATCATGGACACTGGCATGGCACATAGGACCAGCATTTAACTTCATCTTTATTTGCAAATAGACCCCTTTAAATATTTTTAGAAAACAAAATGGTGGTAGCAGTCCAGAACTTTTAGCAAGAGTCCCAATTGCTTCCTTATTATTTTGATCAGCAATTGGCAAGAAAAACCCAGTATGGACTTGATGAGATCAGTTTTGAATTTAATCCGTGTTTGTTCGTTTTTCACTGTTTAAATCCAAACTGGAAATCTGATGATAAGATAAAAGATGCCAGGGAGTCCTTGGTGCTCTCTGAGATTGGTTATTTCCTTGCAGAAATTTCATTACCCACCTAGGTAACATTATTGATGTTACCTAGTTAGGTAATGAAACCTCTGCATGCAAACAGCCAAACCTAGATGGCACCATTGTTCAACCCTGAGCTACATATGTCCTCTTCTATTAAAGTAGGCATGTCAAACTCACAGCGTCAGGTGACGCCGTGTGACATATCGCGACTTTTTCCCCATTGCCCATTGCCGGCAATGGGGTGGGCGCGGTTTCGTCGTGACGCATCTGGCCTGCGGGCCGGCAGTTTGACATGCCTGTATTAAAGGATACTAACATGATTTACCCACCTACTTTTATTTATTTATTATTCTTCCTAGACCTTTATGAAGAAATCCGTCAATTCCGCAAGGCCTGCGGCGACGCTCATATGAAAACGATCTTGGGGACAGGAGAGCTGGGATCGCTTACAAATGTCTACAAAGCCAGCCTTGTAGCCATGATGGCAGGTAACTTCCACATCTTTGGATCAGGTCGTGTTTGCAACAGATTGCTGCTTTGTGGGATGCTTCAGTTGTGTAAACTAGCCAGCCATTTGAGCTTTCTAATAAACTCCATTCCATTTTTCCTGTTCTCTGTTTTCTTTCTTTTTTTTTCTTTAGGCATTCGGCAGTTCTTGCCTTCGATACATTGAGCTTTCATGGAACTGTTTTGGATCATTCTCTCTGCCATTCCCCCCCCCCGCATATTACACTAAACCAAAATTCATTTTATTTTGTTTTGCTTTACCATATTGGTTCTAAAGTAAGGGTGTCAAACTCAGAAGGTCACATGACGTATTGTGACTTTTGGGGCATTGTCGACAGTGGGGTGGGCACAGTTTTGCTACGATGCATCTGGCCCACGGGCCGGCAGTTTGACACCCCTATTCTAAACTGACTATAGTTCTGGTGCATTATTTAACAGGTTGTAGTTTATAAGCTGTGGTTTGATGGCATTAACTGCTATGTGAACGGTGGCATTTGGTAAGGAGTTACAGGTAGTCCTTGTTTAGCAACTGCAATTGAATTTAGCAACTATGAAGTGAAACCACCACTGTGCTTATCTTTTATTCAGCTTTCCTTTGCTTTACAGAGCTGTGCAGGTCATAAATGTGAGGACTGGTGACAAAGGTTACTTTTTGATCACTATTCTAATTGCAAACAGATGCTAAGTGAGTCAGACATTGAGCAAAGATTACCTGTAATCAAACCATGGTTTAGGCCATTACAAGAACCGGATGAGTTAAGATTGAGTCAGTGGTTGAGTTGGAAGCTATACTCTTAAGTAGCTGGAAAAAAAAAGATGGAAACTTTTCTCTGAATCTTCTGCCTAGCCTGACTCTAGAAGGTATACATGCTCTAACTCAGGGGAGTGCCTGGCTGAGGAATTCTGGGAGTTGAAGTCCACAAGTCATAAAAGGGCCACATTTGAAGGCCCCTGCTCTAAGTAATTGCAGAAATATTGAGAGCTGCTTAAAATTGTCTAAACGTTCTTCCCATCCACTCTATTAGTTTCAAGGGAAGGGTATTAGATCTTAGTAGAGTTCTATATCCATTTTTCATTTAGAATTTCAAGGGATAAATACATTACCCTTCATCCTTTGTGTTTCCCCATAACAATCTGAGATAGGTTTTGGCAGAGGTCTGTTCACTGAGCTTGCTGTTTAGCTCCCAGACGTTTTCTTACCAAACTAGGTAACATCTTCAGCAGGGGGGTTGGTTGAAGTGTCTTGAGTTTTTGGGTCAAGACACTTCACCCCAAAACCCCACTGAAGATATTATCTAGTTTGGTAAGGAAATGTCCGGGAGCTACACAGCAAGCTCGGAGAACAGACCCATGACGAAGCCTACAACCTAAACTACAAATATTCTCAATAATTTCTAATCTGAGATAGATTGGGCAAAGAGCAAGTGATTGACCTAAAATCACACAAGGAATTTTTGTAGTTGAGGATAGAGCAGTGGTTCTCAACCTTTTTAATGCCGGTCGTAAGTCAAGGACTACTCAACCGGTCATAAGTCGAGGACTACTCAACTGGTGCAGCACTGTTTGCAGAATGGGACTTTGGGCGGGCTCAGCAGGGCAGAGACAATTCCTATTGGCTTTTGAAAGCCAATAGAATTAGACTCTGTTCAAGAGAGTCTATTCTATTGGCTTTCAAAAGCCAATAGAATAAAAGGGAGTAGCACAGCTAAGGAAACGGGGGGAAAAATGGTGGACTGCGTTGTTTGGCGATCCCCGTGAAATGGTCGTTCGAGCCCAAATGGGGTCCCGACCCACAGGTTGAGAACCACTGGGATAGAGTAACATTTGGTTCTTCCTGCCTTTAGTCCAACACATCACACTGGCTCATTGGCAGGAACTCTTTTGGATGGTGCATCTAAAACACGGTTGCTGTTTTATTGTAATATTTTCTCAGAAGCAGATGCTATTTTTAATATATATATATTAAAAATAGCATCTGCTTCTGAGATTTTATATATATAATTCCATTCATCCAATTAGCTATTCAAAGTTTCATTTAGGATTAAAGTTAATTCCTCTACAATTTTAGTGCTGTAGTTTCATTGAAATACAGCAGATGGCTCTGCTGTTTACACAATTCCTTCTCCTTTTTCAGCACGCTCCACACACAGATACACATGCAAACATACAGAGGTGTTGCTGTGTATCCTTATAAAAATACTTTTTTAAATGTAACAATATCTACCCAAAAAAGAAACCTTACATTTTTCACCCTAAATAATTTAATTTTAAACAGAAGGATCCTTTTAGGTTTGCTGAGTATATAGTAACGACGCAAATGAGATGACCTCTAATTCTCCTTTGAATTATGATGACTTACCTTAAATTGTAGTTGTCTTCCATTCAGGTAAATTTGGGGTTATAATTTTCAATGGTTTGTACCTTTCTCGGCATTCATTATGCTTAGACTATATCAAATTAGGAACCAAATGTTTCTGACCATTAATTTCATTTATTAGATTTTATCCCACCTTTAAAATAGGTAACTCAAGGCGGTGAACATACATAATACTTCATCTTCCTCCTCTTTTGAGGTGGGTTGGGCTGAGAGAGAGACTGACTGGGCCAAGTCACCCAGCTGGTTTTGAGACCTAAGATGGGACTATAACTCACAGTCTCCTGGGTTCTAGGCCAGCACCTTCCCCACTATACCAAACTGACTCTATAAAACCATGTTTTGAAAGCAGAGCACCTCTTTGTCTTCAGAAATTTTGAGGGACTAAACTCTGTCTCCTACGTTCTAAGATCATAATACTGAGAATTACGGGTCTTCTAATTCATATTTAAAAATTAAGTTCATAATGCTGTTTTTGGGTTCAGTGAAAGTATAGAAACAGTGTTCAGGCCATAATTTATACTAAAATGATTAATACTTAACCTTGCCACAAGTGTTTCATTAATTAATGCTTACTAAGAAGTTGTTCTCTTCCCAAAGCACCTGTCATCAGTGTGTGGGTTTGTGTGTGTATATTTGATTTTATAAGCTAAAATGCAGATCTTTCCTGATATCTCAGCTATTTTATTTTATATTTCTCATTTTTAAAATGTATATTTATTATGAATTCAGGAAGCCCCATACAAGAATCTTTCAGGTAGTTTGGCATTTTTGTTGTTCATTCCCAGTTTGCAGAATTGTATGCAAATATGCCATGCCTAGTCTTCCTGAATATTGGGGAGATGGAGAATGATGGGATAATGAAAGATTTTTCCTTCTTTCTTTCTTTCCTTCCTTCCTTCCTTCCTTCCTTCCTTCCTTCCTTCCTTCCTTCCTTCCTTCCTTCCTTCCTTCCTTCCTTCCTTCCTTCTTTCCTTCCTTCTTTCCCTTCTTCTCTCCCTCCCTCCTTTTTTATTACAAAGGGATCCTTAGTTTTTAGTGACATAGTAGGAGAAAACTTCCAAACGTCTGGAGGGTCAAGGAACAAGTAAATATAGTGAATGACATTTAATGTAATCTAAATAAAATTAATTAAATAAATGCTATTAATATAATGTATTTGTATATCTATCAGTATTTCACTTCATGCTGGGAATTTATTTCAACTCCTGGACATTTTAAGGGTACTCCTATGTATCTTTAGTTATGTGCACCTGATGATGGTTCAGTAGAAGTTCTAAACCTTATGCTAATAATGCTGCTCCCTACCATATATAAGAACTTCATTTATCTGATTTTAAACGCATTTCTGGGTAGGCTTTGTGATTTCTACTTAATGTTACTTCTTTCAGACAAAGACTCAAAAATATTTTCTCAAGTCTGCCACTTTTGTGTTACCATCTGTATAATACACCACACCATTAATGAAGTTTGGAACTTCTTATAATACTATTTTTATTCTGTTTTAGTTTATTATATTTGTTCTTAATTATGTTTTAGATTCTATTCTACTTATTGTTTTCACATCTGTCTGTCTATCTATCTATCTATCTATCTATCTATCTATCTATCTATTTATCTATCTATCTCTTTTCAGAACTGACGAAGCATCTTGGATAAGAAGCAAGATTCTATTCTACTTATTTTCATATATCTATATAACTCTCTCTCTCTCTCTCTCTCTCACACACACACACACACATATATGTTTTCTGAGGTTTTTGCGGATGTTTGTATGTAGGTCTTTGGTTATTCGGGTTTTCTCCCACGTAAAATTGGAAGTGTCTTGGCGACGTTTTGACGAAGTCCCATTCGTCATCTTCAGGCTGGTGTTTTCAGCTTCGTGCTTCGAGAAGCAATGTGTGGTCTTAGCTGTTTCTTCCTTTTAACTGCCAGTGGGGGTATGAACTGATTGGGTGGGAGCTTGGCTATGTTCTGATTGGCTGGGGGGTTGGCTGTGCTCTGATTGGCTGGGGGAGTGTTCTTTTTGGGTGGAGGCTTTGTTGTGCTCAGGTTAGTCTGAGTTGCAGGGGGATTTAAGATGGTGGGCTGCCTTGCTATCCTTTCCAAAGGATTCAACTTTGCAGTCGCTCCCAAACACATCCCCACTGAAACCATTATATGTGGAGTTGAAACCAGCCTGACCAAAATCAACCCCGATGACGCTAACAGAATCAGACATGAAATCACCAACATCCTCTGCACCAGCAAGCCACCCAAAAGCAACTTACCCAAAGAAGAACAGACAGCACTACGTAACCTGAAAGAAGACACCAGCATAATAATCCTACCAGCAAACAAGGGCAACGCCATGGTGGTTATGAACACATCTGACTATCAAACCAAATTAACCAACCTATTCCAAGACTCCACATACAAACCCCTAAACACAGATCCCACCACCTACCTGCCAAAAACCACCAGATCCAAAATAAAAGCCTCCCCCATTGGCGAAGAGATCCAGCAAAGAATCATTCCCAGAGAGAAATCATCCAGATGCCCTAAGCTCTATGGTCTCCCCAAGATACACAAAGAAGGAACCCCACTTAGACCCATAGTCAGCTCTAT